AGGTCTGGATCACTGACCGCCACTGCAATACATAATACAAGAACCAGGTTAAATGAAAGTAGATGTAAAAGGTTTAAGAATAAAATATTCCGAATAATTTTCAATTTTCATCGTTGTATCATTCGTAATCGTACTTAGTTACTTAATTAATTTCGTCCCGACGCTATCTCTTTCCCGCTCTCAGTATTTACGACGACATTAAGATTTCCACGTTTTTCCTACTTTCTTATTTATTTTCTTTAATTGTTTTTTGTTTTTCTCTAATTTAAGTTGATATAGATCATTTCATTAAGTCAATAAGTAATTCCTTGAAGAAGGGAAGTACCAAATATTGAGCTTGTCATAACGGTGTCTAGATATTTAAATTTCCGGTGTCATATTGCATAGACCCGCGGAAGCCCTACCAAAGAAGTAAACGCGATTGCTGAGCAGGTTTGTCAGTGAACTTGAAAGCGAAGTTCGGTAAGTGGTATATTGATAAATATCTTAATACTTATCAGTGCCAATGGAGAATCAACGTTGAGAATTCATTCATTTGTTTTCTGTTTTAGAAGCAATAATATTATTGTTTATTGCATGCAGTAGGCTTCTATAATTACAAAACTTGTTGGTGAGCGCGCTAGCTAGGTTCGTCTTATTGTCAATAAGGAAAAGGAAGTTTTTGAGTCAGTCTGTGGATCTACAAAGCAGCATAATCGGTTATCAATTTCATGTCTTAAAAAATCGCGTAGAAACTTTCTCAAGAGTTAATTTTCATCGAGAGCGATTGCTTTTCATCATTTTTTTCCTAACATTCTTTTGGATTGTTTGCTATTGGTTCTGACTGTGAAGGATGGATTTAGTTAAAGCATGACAATGTATTCTGCAACTGTTCGTGATAAGCGCGTAATTACATGGTTAGTTCGGTACGTCAAACTTCCTGTTTACAGCTAGAATTTGAAATTTCAATGTCCGATTTTTAGCAATGGTACAAGGGCCGATGATGTGCCGGCTTAAAAGCTTCATTAATGAGGTGCGATATGAAAATTTAACGAATTTGGATCGTATCTGTTACAATCCCGGACAGCATCAACAAAATTGCGGAGTTTTCTGACGGGCAAGAGCTAAATTTCATACGGAAATTCCATTGACTGTGATCACGTTTTGGAGGTCACAAAGTAGACGTCTGCGTAAGTTCTATTTTAAGCTGAAACTGTTAATAAACCTCCGCTTAATTTTTTTTCCTGCAAGAGGCAGCACTTCCCTTTTTAGCTGAAAAGTTTATGTACGCTGAAACAGAAAATAACTGCAGCCTTTTGATCTTCCGTGACTACATTCCCTTTGAGTGACTTGCATAGGCACGTTATACTGCTAAATTCTATTTCTATTAATAGCCAATCCAAAGCCCAAGGATTCATAGAACTGTCACGCCGCACCGGACCGGAGACAACCTCTCATATAAACCAAAGCCGCAGAAAGGTAAGATTGTAACGTAGATTTAGGTCGTCTTTCGAACTCAGTTATTCTCCCCAAGATATTATTGGAATTAAACCACTCAGGTCCATCCGTGGCCAATACACACTATATCTGAAATCATGTTATTTATGTTCAGGCTGAGAAGACAATGGACAGGAAACGCTTTAAACTGAAATACCCTTATCATCTTTCTTACTCCGCACAGAACTTTCTGTTTCTTCTTCGAGAAAGCAATCGACTACGAATTCTTTAAGTTACATAACTAGGCTAGAATTTGAATCCTGCATGATGGCTCTGATTAATCCTTATACAGCTTGTGACAATTTTAGGAAAAAAGTTTTGTTTGGTTTGTAGCAGTAGAAAGAGCAAGGAATTAACTCAAGGAATCTGCTTATTTGAAGATATTTAAATAATTTCTTAGTGTATACCATAAGGAAGGGCGACTCTGTGTTTCCAGTGAGGGTAGTTACGCTTTCTACTTCACTCCAAAAAAACTCAACGAAGCATTAATTCGTTATAATGGATAACTATTTTGATATAAAACTTGATCTACGTGCAACAACTCACCGGAACTTTCGAGACTTGTCCGTCACGAGACAAGATTTTTGTTTTTTTTCTTTTGCGGAAAGATGAGGCGGTTTAGGTTTTTTTTTCAACAAATCCCAAAGTCTTTGAACAAAATCCATCGAAGTAGTTTAATTATTTATACAGGAATACTAAACAAGCTCTGTCGCATTACTCCTGAAGTCAAACCACAATTGACCTCAAATTAAAAATGCACTGGCAAGACAAAAGCAGGAATTGATAACGTATTTAATTTGTTTATGGTCTTACAAAGAATGATCTTTGTGGTGGCAAGCGGACCGAGGTTTGTCCTTGGCCTATTTCAATTGGCTTTCAAAAGTCAGATCAAAACGTATAGCAAAACAAAGAATAGAATATATTAATAATAATTTTTACATTACTAATGTACAAGAGAAGATAATTGGACATTCTTTCGTCTTGTGATGTGTCGTGTCATTAGTTGGGAGAGTTAACAGCTGGTCATACGCTGTGATCAGGAGGGGGGGGGGGAAAAGGACGTCGTCAAAGTTTGAGAGAACTCTTAAAGCGACTTGGAATGATGTAGCTATTGTTGAACAAAAGTTGGCGGATATACGTAAATGCTAGAGGAAGAACAATTCATTGATACAACACTTACTTTGTTTTGATTATATTCTGTTTTTCTTTTTACGTCATGCTCACCATGATTACAAAAGTAATATTATTTCAGTAATTAACTGAAACGTTAAGATATATAAAGTACTGTTTCGACTTCCGCTGTTTGTTATTTAATCAGCTTTATTTCTATATAGGAATCAATATTATATTGAAGTGATCACAAAACGAACAGTGCTAAAAAAGACCGACTTTTCATTAAAATCATTATTTAGTCTAAAAAGTTATTTCTCAAATTTAACTGTATGAATTGCTGAAAAACTGAAAAAGTATATATGATATA